ATTACTGACTCTTCAGCCCATGAAGGAATTTCATGCCAATGTTAATTTTAATCACAATAATTCCTTCCGTGTAATGCTTTCTGTGATATTTTACATGTGTCTAGTCACACATGTAAAAATGTGGTTTAAAATGATTTGGATTAAGTATTATACATAGTTTAAGCATAGTGAAAGATAGGGCTTAAAAGCAAAAATATACAAATATAGACAAACATATATAGAAATATTTTGTGAAAAGCTTGCTATCTATAAAAACACAGAAACCATACAGGCACAGCCATGATAATGTTCTGTTTCTCTATCCATCCATCCGTCCGTACATCCATCTGCCTATCTTCAGTCTCAAGGATATATCAGTTCTAATTACTGCATATCATACCATAGTGCTTAGTAATGTAGTCTATGCAGAGGTGAGGAGGTGAAGACATTTAAGTAATTGTCCATGTACATCATGAAGAGATAGATGAAAACTATTCAAGTTACATGTCAATTTTTTTTTAACTGAAGAATTTTTAATATGGAAACATCTCAGATAATTCTTATTAGAATATTACTAGCAAAATGCTTATAGGCATGTGGACCTAAAGTGGTGATGATATAATTTTTATCATTCCATTGTCTCATTTCTCTATATGATTACTGAAGTGAATATGAGGTGGAACTTACTTTCCTTCCCTGAAATGATGTAAAGTGTTAGAATTTTTCTGAGTAACTATTAGATTATTACAGCCACTGCATAGGGATGATTACTGACTCTTCAGCCCATGAAGAAATTTCATGCCAATGTTAATTTTAACCACAATAATTCCTTCAGTGTAATGCTTTCTGTGATATTTCCAGGCTCAAAAAGTAGAAAGCATATCTTCATCCAAAAAATATCTTTAAAGAGATGACTTTACATTAAAATGCATAACCTAAAATAATAAGCTGACTTCCGTTTTCCCTGGTCCTAAATAAACTATATTCTCATTTTGAAAATGCATTCTTGAATTAAATACAAATAACCCTCACCATTTCTTGGATCATTTAAATCTCTCTGTCATCTTGCTGACAATCTCTCCACCATCTACGAACTACTTGGTGATCCTTTGTATCTCAGCTAAAGGTATCTTTCTCAAACAAAAATGTGGCAACTTTAAACATTTAATGCCTCATTACCCACCTCTGCACATGCATAGACCTACAGTCTGGAGTGGCATTCCAGGTCCTTCAATCTCTGGCCCCACGTCTTTTTTTTAGCCTTCACTTCTGCGATCTTCCTGACTCATTCAACCAGAATTTTATCAGGCACCTGCAGTCACGGTGCTCAGCGCTGGAGAAAGAGAGATGAGGCACAATTCCTGCTCTTCAGGGAGCTTTGAGTATATTAGGAAAGACAGACCAAAAAACCATCAACTATATGACTGTGAGACATGGCCTAGGTAAAGGGTGCATTGGATAACACAGGAGAGAGGGGTAAAAACACCCTCCAACTCCTTAGTAAAAGTAAGTGGAGATCCTTATGGGATGGCTATGGAGTAGAAGAGTGCTTGGTCTCTTTTGATGATTCCTGGTCTCCATGATTTACCTTCCTCTTGGAGAAATCTCTAATTTTTGTTGTCATCACCACACTGGCCTCAGAGAGGCACTGCACCCCTTTTATTGTTCTGGCCCAAGTATGATCTCAATTATCCCCTAAATCTCCAAATCATAGTTGAGGTTGGGCTGGAATATTTAAACAAGACTTTACAGAACAATAAGGGAGAAGCAGAAAGATAGTAATAGGCAATTAGATAATCTAATTAAACTAGATAAAATATAACTCCTTCAGGGATACCTTCCTTCCCAGTTGTAGGGCTGACTCTTCCCTGTTATCTCTTAGCATCCCCAGGTGTGTCTGAGCTTCTGGAAGCCTGGATGTGGTTAGCAAGGTTTAGAGAGACATTTCCTATCCCGAGACTGGCCCTCCTTCCAAACTCTAGTTTCTGGTACATGAACCTGCCCCTTCTTCAGATGAATGATACTGGGAATGACCCTTCAGGAAAGACTGAAGCAATCCATAGAGCACGGCCTTGCCCACTGGCCCCATAGGGAAAGAATACCAAAACACAGGCCTGTAAGATTCATGCATACACATTGAAGAAGGGGAGTATATGTTGGGGATAGTGGTAGGAGGAATTAATTTCATCTTAAGAAACCCTTAAGGTGGAGGGGGTCATGGAAAGCTTCATGGGAAGTTGAACTATAGTGAAAATTAAGTAGAAGTTAGCCAGATAGGGAAGGGTATAAATCACAATTAGTCAAATCAGTTCGAGGAAGAGTGAAGAGCTTTTGCAGAGAGGCCCTAAGGAGTAAAAGAGCGTCTTATCTACAAGTGGACTGTTCTTGCTGGAGCTTAGTGCCCAGGGGAGAATGAAGACAGTAAGGCTAGAGAAGAGGGACAGCCAGAGCCCAGGCCCAATGGGCCGTGGGTAGCATGCTGCTGGCGTGGGCCTTACCCAAACGGGATGGGAGCCATGGAAGTAATTTAAATTGTGAGCAACATGACTAGCTTCTCATTTTGAAAAAAATCTCTTTGACAGAAGTGAGGAACTGAATTGGCAAAGGATGAAGATGAAGGTAGAGAGGCCAGTTAAAAAACTATCATCGTAGGGGCCGGCCCGGTGGCGCACTGGATAAGTGTGCCGCTTGGGAAGCACGGCGGCGCTCCCGCCCGAGGGTTCGGATCCCACATACAGACCGGTTCCCGCTCACTGGCTGAGCGAGGCGCAGGGGCAGCACCGAGGGTTGCAATCCCGTTGCCCGTCCCCGGTTCGGTATGGGGGCCACACCGCGATTGATACCCTGCATCTCCACACGGGAC